GATGGGAACTCTCTGTACCTTCCCTTTGACTCTAAAACTGTTCTAAGAAACAAAGAATTTTTAAGTAAATTTATCACAATTTTTTTTTCAACGTTTATTTATTTTTGCGACAGAGAGAGACAGAGCATGAACGGGGGAGGGGCAGAGAGAGAGGGAGACACAGAATCGGAAACAGGCTCCAGGCTCTGAGCCATCAGCCCAGAGCCTGCCGCGGGGCTCGAACTCCCGGACAGTGAGATCGTGACCTGGCTGAAGTCGGACGCTCAACCGACTGCGCCACCCAGGCGCCCCAATTTATCACAATTTTTAAAAAAGAAATAACATTACAGTTACCTGCAACAACATGGATGGATCTCACAAATAATGTGGAGTGAAACAAGGTAGTCACAATTCCAAATACATAAATTATATAAAGCTGAAATATCTGTAAAACAAAACTGTTTACAGAATCTTATATAGAAGATAAACTTATAAAGAAAAGCAAAGAAATGATATCACAATAGTCACGGGTTACCTCTAGGATGGAGAGAAGAAGGCCATCAGTGGTGGGGGACTGGAGGCAGGAAAAATGAGGGGGTGGAAGTTATCAAGATGTTGTATTTCTTGTCTTGGGTGGTCATTACATGGGTGATTATAAATGTTCTTTTAACTGGAAGCTCTCTTCTGAATGCTTCTCTTTTCTTAATAAAATGGAAAGCAAGGTCAACAACTACGAATCAGGAGGGGTGAGGAAGTGTTGAAGATTTGAGGAAAAAAAAAGGTGGTATGAAAGAAACAGAAATGGGAGAATATATGGAAATATAGTATTTATTTATTTATTTATGAACACTTCTCACTTTTTTCCTGATTTATTATGCTGCTTTTTCTCTCATATGGAACATTATTTTATTATCTTTAATATACTATACTATATGCAGTTGTTACAAAAATGTAGTTAAATTATAATACCATATAATGTTTAAAAATAAATTTTAAGAGCAAACTGAAGTCTTAATAAACCATATAACAATAATAGTAATATATTAGTTCTTATTTCACCTTGAGCTTTAGAAAACCTCATATAGTTTATATTTAGACAAAGATATACAGGGCTCATATGGAGATTTTTATTCTTTTTCTTTCAACTTTTTATACTAAGCAACTTTAGCACTAAATTCTACATTTTATGAGTTTTAAACATACATAGGTATTTATTACCTCCTGGTTTATCTCAAATCCAAAAGTCATTTTTTAAATGTCAGAGAATATAACCACATTTACATCACAAAACTAAATATGGATATTTAAAATTCCTGGGGCATGGCTGGGTGGCTCAGTCAGTTAAGTGTCTGGCTTCTTCTGCCCAGGTCATGATCTCACAGTTCCTTAGTTCAAGCCTTGCATTGGCTCTCTGGTGTCAGCACAGAGCCCGCTTCAGCTTCTATCCCCGTCTCTCTCTGCCCCTTCCCCACTACATGCTTTCTCTGTCTCTGTCTCAAAAATAATGATGAAAAAAATTTAAATTACTAGAAAACTATTACACTCTTAAACTTTGCTCAGAAGACTTAAAATGGAAAAAGATATGTAATTTTGCTTAGGTTCTTAAATGAAGCAATTTGTAAAAATCAATTATTTAAATTATAACATGCTTTAGTTGTAAATTCATGTTAATATTAGAATTGCATAGCTTCAATTATTAACACAATGTAAATCCGAAGTTTCTATAAAGGCAAATATAGTACATTTAAACAATTGCCACCAATGTAACTTTAAAATATGCCATGAACTTTCATTTTCTAATATTCTATAGCTATTCCTCAGCATGGAGTTACATCCTGATCAACCCATCATAAGCTGAAAATATCTTATGTCAAAAATGTATTTAATACACCCTGCCTACTGAACATCATAGCCTAGCCTAGCCTACCTAAAACGTGAACACTCACATTAGCTTACAGCTAGAAAAAATCATCTAACACAAAGCCTATTTTGTAATAAAATGTCGAATACCTCATGTAATTTGTTGAATACTGAACTGAAAGTTAGAAATATAATGGCTGTGTGGGTACAGAATGGTTGTCAGTGTATTAATTGCTTACCCTCGTGATCTTGTGGCTGACTGGGAGCCTCAACTCTTTGCTGCAGCCCAGCTCACATTAGTATCTACCACACATCACTAGCCTGGAAAAGATCAACATTCAAAATTCAAAGTGCAGTTTCTACTGAATACCTATTGCTTTCACACCATCATAAAGTCAAAAAATCCTAAGCTGAATCACTGTTAATTTGGGGATCGTCTATATAGTAACTGTGCCACTGTCATAGAGTTAAAACACAGTCTTTGAAAATTTCAATCTACAAATATTGAATCAAGAAATATTAAAATTGCAACTCTGGGTAGTTCAGGCAAAAATACTGTGTCTGTGTGTGTGTGTGTGTGTGTGTGTGTGTGTGTGTGTAGGTAGGTAGAGAATGAATGTTCAGTAAAGCAAATGCGCTAAAATGTTAACAGGGGAATTTGAATAAAGGGTATGTGGGTGTTCTTTAAACTTGACTTACACTAGCAACTTTTCTATAAGTTTGAAATTACAGTTTCAAGAAGTTTGAAACTTCTAAATAAGTTAAAATGAATAAAGGGACATGAACTGACACAGTGGCATAAGTGGAAATCGACATTGTACTTGGTAATAAATGCATCTCTTGGATTAAAACGTGGGGGAGTACAGTAGTTTATCTCCTTTTCAGCTTAAAAACCAAAGCTATAGGGGCGCCTGGGTGGATCAGTTGGTTGAGCGTCCAGCTCTTGGTTTCGGCTCAGGTCATGACCTCACAGTTTCATGGGTTCGAGCCCCATGTCAGGCTCCATGCTGACGGTGGGGAGACTGCTTGGGATTCTGTCTCCCTCTCTCTCTCTGTCCCTCCCCTACTTGTGCTGACTTGTCTCTGTCACAATAAATAAGTAAACTTAAAAATTAAAAAAAAAAAAAAGCTATATGGGTGCCTGTGTGGCTCAGTCCATCTGACTTTGGCTCAGGTCATGATCTCATGGTCTATGAGCTGGAGCCCCACATCAGGTAAGCCCCATTTCTCTCTCTTCCTTTCTCTCTCTCTGTCTGCCCCTCGCTCACTTGTGCCCTATCTCAAAAAAAAAAAAAAGCTATAGGCTAAGTTACAAATTTTTAAGAAATATTTCGTTTCTTCTGAGAGTTAGAAGGAATACATAGATATAACTATGCTGAAATATCACTAGCTGCTGTTCTATTTTTCCTTTCCTTGTACAGACCCCATGTTCCCTGCCCTTAAATCCACCAGCAGAGCACTGTCCTACCCCATCCAAATCTGCACAAGGATCAGATGTGGGAACTCATCTACAGCTCTTTTGGACCACCCATTTTCTGTTGACCTTGTGGGCAAATGCTCTCTGATCTCATACTGCCTACTGCTGTATCTTTAATTTCTATGATGTTAAGTGAGGAATTCTCACTGCTAGGATCTATAAGTAGGTCATTTTAAATGACAGATTCAGTTAGGTAAGGAGGTGCAAGTGGAGGTCACTATCATGATATTATCTCCAAAGGGAAAACTGCAACATACGTCATCTTGGAAATCTTCAAAATTCTGGAGTTGAAATGAATGGGATAGTTATGCAATGTGTTTCTGTTTGCGAAATTTTAGTTCCTGTGGTGTTGCTAATAGCAAACATGCCATCAATAACACAAACTCATCAAATGTTCTAGTTAATAGTCATTTATTATTATTATCAGCAGCAGCATTATCATTAGCACAAAACTAAATCCACTAATAAAAGAAAACAAAATCACACCTCAAAGGTATGTGTCTTGCTGACAGTGAGTCAATAACATCATTTTCATGTACAAGGGACAGCACCCTGAGGATAAAGATCATATCACAGCTTGACAATCAATTCGGTAATCAGCCAACATTATTGAGCACCTAGGCACAATGGGAGATTTTAAAATGCATACAAGAATTCCTGCTTTCAAGGAGTTTTACAGTCTAGTAGGAGGTATTGAAGAACATCAAGAAGAACACAGGGCACCATGAGATCAGTGACATAATGGAATCAGTGCCATATATGAAGTGTTATTGGAAAGGGGCATCACTAGAGACTAATGTAACATTCAGTTATGGGAAATCAGAAGAGTCTCCACAGAGAAGGTGGCATGTGAGCTAGGCTTTGAGGACCTGGAAGGGTTTTGGCAGACTAGCATGTGGGGAACAGATACTGCAGGTGGAGAAATAGTGTGGGCCAAAGCACTGCCATGGGAAAGTTCATGGCATTTTGGGGGAGAGAACAATAGTTCAGTTTGGCTGGTTGTATGGGATCTATGTAAGTGGTAGTGGTGTGATAAAATGCTGCAAGTTATATGGAGACCATATTTTGAATAGCTTTGAACTACAGGCTAAGATTTCTGATATGTATGTCACTGTAACTGTATTTATCCACACAATAAAATATGCAATTATTTGTGAAGAGATATGGTCATTTCACTTCCAGATTTATTAGGGAAACTCAAGTGGTTTCTAGGCAGTGTTATTGCCCTGCTATCAAAAATATACTGGCAGATAATACCAAGCAATCTATAGTAAATTTTTCTCATGACCTAAATCTCTTCCCTCAAAGTCTATTCCTTCCATCTAGCGACATAAGTGACAATACTTCTTCCCACCCCTATATCCAGCCCCATCAGTTCTTATGACATCTGATCAGTTGAGGCAAGCCTAATTTAGGATTTCCAACCACGAATGCCAGCCTGACTGAAACAAGAACCTACAGCCCTGAGAAGTGAGAGTGATGGTGGCAGGGGTAGTGAACAATATCATGAAAATGCGGTCATCTGAGATGTTCTATGGAATCTGCATCCTAAGTCAAGCATAGTTCTTTGAAATTGGAGTATCTGGTCCTCCACTAAGTTTAGTCCAAAGGACAACTGGAGGGGTCCCAGAACTCACAGTGCCTAACTAAGGTCATCTTTTAAAGTTTTACTCTTATTGTCAAGGAATTATTTAAAGGAATGACATTTCACCTGGGTCACAAGCTTTTTTAAGGGCCTCCTGGGTCTGAGGCTGTTGAAGCTGTGGATGGACTGGGGTGACTTTCTTTTTTCTGGCCAAGGAACCCTGTTGGGCTTTGTCTTTGCCCAACAGGCTGGTGGTTGACAACTTCTCCCATGCACTCACAGTTCAAAGATGCTAAACAGTTGTTGCATTAGGTAACCAAGCCAAAGATGTAAGCTATTTAGACCAACTGGGAAGGCTTAGGATAACAAAGTTGCCATGGCCACACTTTCTACAGTTAGTCTTTCAGCTCTTTCCTGGAATGATATCTCCTCTGCAGGAAGTCATGGATAGCAGTAGTGAGGCCCCATGTCACGCTGGACCTTAGGATGACCAGGGAGCCGCCACGGTAGATGAGGAACACCTTTCGGCCCCGAGTGTCCCACACGTCCTGGGCAGAGGCCCATAGGCTTGGCATTCTTTGCCAGCCAATATGGGACTGCATATTGGCCACTAGCACAATCAAAGGATACAGAACTAGGCAGGTGATTGTTCCATTGACACTCCCAGACACTAAGGCAGGAACCCAATGGGGCAGGCCTTGCTCTGCCAAGCCATCCTGGATGGGGTCTTTGAAGGAAAAATACAGAGCACTCCCTAGGCTGTTCCTGAGAAGGACAGGCCAGAAACCACGATAGTATCCCAGTGACAGCCGCCCCCAAAGCCCATAAGAGTTGAATTCCTTGAGAATGCTGAAGGTGCTGGGGAAGCGAGCTTGCTTGCGACCATCCTGGAGCACATTTTGCACCCTTTCAAAGGGGCTCAGTGCCACAGCCTCCACCACACCAGACATGAGCCCTGCAGTCCAGCGGTGTCCCAGTGAGTGTGGCCCAATAGGGGAGAGAGAACACAGCAGGCTATCATAAGTCCCAAACAGTAGAGTCCCTTGCAATGTCTTGGAGAGAAGAGGTGGGTATATTCCCCGGTAGAAGTATTGAGGGCCTTCATGCCAAAGCTGTCGCACAGCCTCTGACACCACCATAGCATGTATCTGTTGACGGAACACAACCTTATAGATAGGGAAGGTCAGAAAAGTAGACATAAAGTTGGAAATGGCCCCAAGGGCATAGGCCTGGGAATGCCAGCTTTTCTTTCCTGGAGACTCTGCTCGTGTCCTGTGCTGAAGTTCCTTTCTAGGAGAGTGGTTCTGTTCTGCCATGCTGAAGACAACTGGGTGCAGATGGAAGAAAACTGGCAAGAGTGGGAAAAAAAAGAGGTTACTGACCACTTAAATCTGTTGGTGGCATTTTCGTTACTTACAAACAGAGTCCCAAGAAACTTAGCTCTAAGGAAACAAGCAACACTTTGGATGAGTTTCTGAGAAATATTTCTTAAGAAATCGTTCATCAGCCTCAAATTAAAACAAAGGAAGTGTTGGAGCACCTAGGTGGCTCAACCAGTTAAGCTTCCAACTCCTCTTCTTTTTTTTTAAGTGTTGGTGAGAATGTAGAGAAATTGGAACTCTTTTTTTAATGTTTATTTATTTTTGAGAGAGAGAGAGAAAGCAGGGAAGGGTCGGGGGTGGGGTGGGGAACTGAGGATCCAAAGCAGGCTCCATCCTGTAAGCACCGAGCCCAGGCCTGCTGCTATGGGGCTCGAACCCACAGAACCAGGAGATCATGACCTGAGCCAAGGTCAGACATTCAACCGAATGAGCCACCCAGGTGCCCCGAGTGTCTGACTCTTGATTTCAGCTCTGGTCATGATCTCACAGTTCGTGAGATGCAGCCCCACCAGGCTCCACACTAACAGCACAGTGGAGACTGCTTAGGATTCTCTCTCTCCCTCTCTCTCTCTCTGCCCCTTCTCCTCTTGTTCTCTCTCTTTCTCTCTCAAAATAAGCATTAAAAAAAAGCCAAGTTTTTTTTTTTCTGAACAGAGTCACCTGTGCAGTGGTTTACCAATAAATCAAATATTCTAATATTCAAAGAAGGTTTGTGATTGAAGAAAATAAAATTGGGAAAACAGGGCTCCAAAACATATTGCATTCAACTTTCACCACATGAAATTTTGCATTTGGTAAACTGCTACAATAAGTTGCTATTCTCTTTCCAAAAAGTGGTACTATCTCAAAGAAGCAGAAAGGCATTCAGAAGTTGTATTCCAATACTTTCTCTAAAAGCTGGTAGTAAATCTGGGGAGTGGGGAATCTCCCTCGTCTCTCTGCCTGCAGATTCCTAACACTGTTGTAACTGTTTCATTAGCAATGCCCTGCCCCCACCCAACTGAGGAACAGAGAGAGTAGCTGTTCCTGGAAGGTCAGCACCAAAAATCTCTATACCTGACAATTTCCAAGCCTATCCTTGCAGACCTGTAGCTATATAATAGAGCAGGGATTTTCAGTCTTGACACATGTGACATTTTTGACCAGACAATTCTTTGTTGTAGGTGTCTGTCCTGTGCATTATAGAACGTTTAGCAGCATCCTGGCCTCCACTCACTGAATGCCAGTAGCACAAGGTGGGATCAACCCAGCAATAATATAATTATCTCCAGACATTGCCATATGTCCCCTGGGAAGCAAAATCACCACTAGTTCAGAATCAATGTACTAGAGGAAAGACAGTACAAGGGCACCAAACTACTGATCCCACTGCAGAAATGGCTGGGAGCTGATGGGGTAGATGAGAGGCAACTGGGGATCCAGGACACATGAAGGAAACTCAGGACCAAGAAGAAATGAATGCTCAGCGTAGATCTGAGACCCTGAGGGGGTTTGTGAGGAAGGAAATATGGCTGAGAGGACAGAGTGTGGCACGGTGGAAGGTAGTGTGTGGAGGAGAGGAAGCATAGAGCTGTAGAGATTGGGGGAGGAGAAGACAGGGAGAGGAGGGGAGGGCACCTTGACCGGGCAGGGGATTCACATCTAGACTGGTAGGAATGGCAGACTCTGGAG